TACCAATTTTAATGGTGCTAAAGTTAGTAAGTTCTGATAACCCACTACCATCGGACCAGCCTAGACCAGAAATTTTGAATTCCTATTCTAAGTAAAAAATTAGAGAGGTTTGATGCTTACATTATCCTGAAGTCCCAGAATGTCAGAGTTGGAGGAGATTTTAGAGGTCATTTAGGTTTATCTCTTCATTGTATGAATAAAGCTTAGAGCGAAAGAGCAAGTTCTAGGCCAGAGCTGGGCCAAGATTTTAATTTTCCCAACTCCCAGGCAAAGATTCTTTCCACTATACCATAATACGATCCCCAATTTTATGTTTTTTTGTCTGGCCTTCTAAGTCATTGATTTCTTCAACAACTGCCTGAGTACGCATACCATGTGCATATCTGTGCCAGTTGTTGGGCGTACATAGTCTAGAAGACAGAGCGCCTGCCCCAGGATGCAAGACATCCTCCCCTGCCCTTCACTTCTCCCGGATCTTCTCATCTCGTATCTTTTTCCAAGCTTGTAAACTTAAATTCGGTAGAAATAAAAGAAACTTAGATAATTTTATCTATGGCAAATCATGATGAGCTGTGAAAGAAAGCACACAGTAAGGGGGATTAAATTTTAAAATGGATACGAAAGGACAAATATACCCATCCTTCCAGCAGTAGCTTTCAGTCTTTATTTTGAAGTGACCTACATTTTGACTCAATCCAGTACCTCCACCTTGCTCACAGTTGAAGAAAACTGTATCTAAACGAGTACAGTACTCATCCAGGATATATACGAAATATTCTTTTTCTTTTTAATGTCTTGTTACAACCCATTAATTCGATTTCATGACCCCTAATGGTTCCAACCCCGAGTTTGGGAGCTTAGAGTCACAATCACATTTGAATATTGAGTTGTATATTGGGTTGAACTGGCCTATTTCTGATCCAGTATAACTGACAAGCTAAACTCATGCCTGCCAGGAAAACCTTCTCCTTTCTGTTACAGTATTCATTTTCTCTAAATCCCATTTAGCCACTTATTCCAAGAAAGATTTCTGTCTATACCTTACTGTTTCATCTGGTATATTGTTCACATTTGTATACTATATTTCCTGATTGCCATGTGTGGGTAAGTACTTTGTTCTGATTTCATGTATCTTTACTCTGTCCCCAGTTAGACTGTTAATTCCACGAAGACAAAGATCCTATATTCTTGTTTCTTTGGGACCCTCCCATTCTTTTCAGTTTCGCACCCATTTGACATTTTATTTTTTTATTTTTTATTTTTTTTTTTTGAGACAG